TCTACTACGTGCAGGGCTCTGTGATCTGCGCGACGCTCTCCCTTGAATCATAGTACATTAGGTGTTTTTAATGTAGGAGAAAGACTCCCGAACGTACGTTGTCAGCAATGAATATTTTTATTGAAATCTAATATGTGATTTATCGTTTTGGCTGAAATATCGGTGAAAATAAGAATTTTGATATTTACCAATGAAAAGAAAGTCCTCCTTTAGGTAGATTTGATACTTGAATGGTAACTTTGTAAGTAATTACATAAGAAGGGATATTTTAAGCGTTTATCACAATACTCTCTCACCAAGGGAGCAACTAAACGACGCGATCGAAAGTACAGGTGAAATTATAAGCATTTGCTCATAACTGTGGCGCGCCTGCCCCGCCCACAAGGCCCTACTAACCTCTTTCTGTGTTCTGTGTGCTGAAGGTTTAATAGGTATATGAAAGTGGTTTTAACGTAACAATTAATATAAATTCATAGCACTCGTAACTAAAATTATCGCGAAAGTAATACGATAGTAAAATTATTCAGCAAACAAACGACGATATCGTGGTATTACCAGTGATTAGACACAGCCACGGGTGTTTTTGAATGGAAACATTATACTTAGAGTGCACATATGTTGTGGTGCCATCGAGACGATAACGGCAACGATAAACGAGCGAGCGCGGTTTTTCATTAACGGACTGGCGAGTTTCCATGAATGGGTGCGCTCAATGGAAAACGTTCAGTTCGCCTCATTCACTGAGCGCCGCGACGGTCGACCGTCACCGTCGGGACTGCGCGTTGCGTTGTAGATAATATGACGCCTTCCACGAGTAGATTCGTCACTCATGAAACCATCAATCGGTACAGCTCTAGTAAAATAGAAACTGGTATCTTACGCAAGGTGATCTATTCATGTTGCTAGTTTACAAACAAATATTGTCATCATGATACAAATTGCATGTCGTTGATTGCTAGTAAGCAATAATACGAAGAGACTGTACATTTCAACATGTTATTGAATTACACTGTTGCATTAGTTGTATAAGAACTTTTCAATTATCCCCAGTGCTACACATCAAATAAGTCGAAAACGTGATAAATTAGCGACAGCAAAAACTGTAAGCTATCAGTATATTTTAATAACTTTGTAGGATATAAAGCGACTGCAATCCAATCAATACTACATCCGCGTATGTGCATCGGCACCGCAAAGTATCAATGCCTCACTACATCGGTACGGTAGGTAACTGGTTACGACCCATTAGCATTAAAAAAATAATGTTCATGTCGAACTTTGTGAGTCGTGACGTGGTACATACTTTGCATAACTACAAAATATATAATAATGCTCATTCATTCATACCCATTACATATAATAACGAGTTATAAGTACACATCTAATCTGGAGTAAAATATTTCTTGAAGTTATTAATGACTCAGTTTATAATTCAAATATATATAACAGAAGAATAAACCCTTTATAAGTCCAGCATGAAGGTCGAAACAAACAAGAGACAAGCACCGAAAGGCACAGGTACACCGGCTGAGTCACTTGATGTGATGCATAAAATAAATAATGGGATTCAATTAGTGTCTGCTTGTTTGGGTGGGTTGACTAAGTGGAGGTAAGAACAAAGGCGTAAGAGGTACAGATAAGTTGCGGGCGTGACGGAAGTTACTATAAAGTCGGAGCATTTATCGTCTGCGCGCTCATGGTGGCACCCACAGCGACGAAGACACCGAACCGCTTCCATGTCACGTGTGGTCGCGTCAACAATGCAATGCACCGTCCAGACCATGGCACGCAAGGACAATTATGTATTGTAAATATTGTAATGCAATAGTGAATTGTGGTATAAGTTTATTTTTTAATTGTATTTTAACTATTTTATTTTATATTGTATTGTGTTTTCAGTATGAATCTTAGCTACCTGCAATACATTGCCTGCCATTTATTTTTCCGAAGCAATGGAAGCTATAAAGTAATACTGGGACGTGTAAAAGTTTTTACAGGAAAATCTAGAATCTGCCTACCTAGAAAAAGTTAATACTGAAAGTTAATGTTCTAATAATAACTACAATTGCTATTTCTTATTTCAAATGTTTAATACTTGTAATGGTATTTCATTTGTCATTCGGATTTACCTACAATGCGCAGAGATGGCGCTGCCTGGCAGCCTTAAAAAATACTAGAGGAAATTCGCCAGTAGCATAATTGGTCAGGCATCCGCCCGGATAGCGGAGGGTGCAGAGTCCCATCTGCTGCCTAGTCCACATGGATTTTTTCTACTAAGTTTATAATAAGCAATTAAAAATATAATGAATGTTCTAGTCCCACAAGTGAAGCCACTGCTAGAGAAGTATTCGTGAAATAGAAGTGATTGCAAATAATATACTTTTATATAAAAGCAAATATAAAATAATATAAAATTGATGACTTCCATGGCCAAGTGGTATGTGCACCAGGTTTCAAGGTGTCACCTACTTCTGAGGTCCCGGAAAAAAGGGTTCGAATACAGGTGGGGCAAATATTAGTATGATGAATACAAGCATTTGTTCTCTAGGCCATAGATGTTAATATGTATTTCAAGATGAAATATACTTTTATATATGTTTCAGTATATATATTCTATCCGATACCCTACTATCCCATAACATGAGCCTTTCAGTGCATACTTTGGGGCTAGGCTAATTGCTGTAAGTGCTGGAAATATATATTTATTTACATCATTAATCATTAAATGACTATGTTAAATACAACATCTATCACTTTCAATAAATTCAGATTCTTTTGTAAGAAGTAAAAAGTTAATCAGGTGATTAAAAAAAGTCATCTCAATATTCATCATCCTGATAATCATGAATTAAGCATATAATAAATGTTGGGTAATAGTAGCTTACACAAACTATCTTTATATTTGTATGGGCTGATAGGGTGGAGGAGAAAAGCAGAGGGGAGGTCACAGGTCTTGCCCCGGAAGGCATACTGCACTCTTATCTCAGACATACTTTGCGTTATCGTAAATTTATGCGCCCACGCCTGCCTTCATAGACACAAATTAATCATCAATATACACAGCTGGTCATGTGCAATAACTACTCCACACTCAAACACTTAATAAATTATATGAATATATTTAACAAAGAAATATAAAGTTCCTTGCAGATAAATTAATTACAAGTTAAACTTATTTGTTTTAGTAACACTTCTATAGAAGTGCATTAGGTTGATATTTAAATTGTTAGTAATCTGGCAATTGTGCCACAAATTTCATTTTCTACAACTTACCAATGCATAAATACTCACTACTTTGGTAACTTGTAGAAAATATCTAGTTCTTTTAATACAGAGACATTAAACCGGTTCTATTAGTCCGACCAAACTACACTATAGGGATAAATACTAAAAAATAACCTAACAGGCTAATTATAAACTTTTACTATTCTCCCTGTTAAACCTTGTATAAACCCTGTCAAGTTATTAATTGAAAGCTAAAAGTGTCAGTAAGTAAAGAATTGAAGGGGATCACCAAAAGCAAAAGAGTTACAAAATTTAGTTATTACTTTTACGCTACTTGTTGTGGATTTCCATTATCACTTCAATACTGATTTCAGAGGATATATCCAATGCTAATCCAATCTGATATATAAAACATTTGATGAAAAATCTCAGAAAAACAGATATCTTGTCACCTCATAATGACTAGACAAAATTTTGATGAAGTGTTTGGGGTTCCAAATTAAATTATTTTCTTTTTAAACATGCATTTGACTATTTTCTGTGGCTTAACAGTTTCATAAAACTGACAGCCAGTGTGAACTATTCCAATAGTCACCAATCATTCCAATCATTATATAACCTGAGATTCAAATCCATATTTTTGTGTCTACAAGTCACCTGCTGCCACATCACCTGGTTGACTCAAATTATCCTCAAATAAGTTGGAATTTTATGTTACCTGGTTTAAATTCATTGCAGACTATTGATATTGCATGTTATGTAAGTAAAAAATCAAATAAGTCTATAATAACCAACATATATTACTATAAATAATAATAAATGTGTAAAATTCTGCAAAGATGTGGATTAAATTGCTAGTCTTATCCAAATTAAAAAAAAAGTCAAGTACAAGTTATAATTGTGAGAAAATATAACTTTAGGGATCTATCCATCTGTTTTTGGGGATATGGATAGGCCATAATTAGTTTACCTAATGAAAAATAATTACCAATATCTTTTAATATCTGTTAGTCAAGTCTTCCTGATATACATCATGATTGTTATAATTTGATAAAACCCCATTAGTATTCTAGTCTTATTCAGCACCATAACTAGCTGAGCCAGTATCAATAAATCTTATCCTATAATATATCTCAGATAATTAAAATTAACAAGAAATTACCATGCAAGAACTATGCAGGAAACTAAAGTTATTTCAGTACAGATACAAAAATATTATGTTGATTTTGATTATGTAAACAAAATTCATTCATAATATCTATGTTAATTTGACACCATTTTCATTCAATGATTTCTTAAAATTTACTTATGAATCTCATTATTTGTCAGTTCTGTTTATCGTTATTTCCAGATATCTGGATTGCTATTAATATCTACGAGACTAAGTTAAGTACAGTACCTATTCATTCTCAAATTAAGGTGAGTACAGTGTCATTGTGCTATGGAGCAAGGTTTTCATTCATAAACTGCATGAAGTGTCAAAATATCTAAAGGCAAAAACAAAGAAGTACAGTCACCATACACATACATACAAATTTAATAATAATATGAATTCAAAACAACTTCATGTTGGTAATTACAATAGAATTATGAATTTATGATATTCATTCACTTATGAAAAGGAAAACCATGTAGTTTTGTACCACCTGTTCTCTACAATGACAACAACAATCTCTACTTGCCTAGGCTTTACGCGATGCATTTTAGTATTACTCGGTGTAAGTAAATTTAAGCCACCTCAATATCTTTAATTAAATTCAGAAATAGAAACTTACCAATCTTTATTTTCAATCTTTCTTCAACTCGCACTTTACGCGTATCGTCCGCCATGTTAAATCCATTACTGTTTATCTCTTTCATCCGTTGTTATCTCTTTCGGAACGAGCTCGGCCGGCTTGACTGTCCCGCCACTTCCGGAGTGTCGTAATGTTCTACTTCAGCCTGTTTTGGAGTTTCAACAACTTACAACACAACCAAACATTTTAATATGACACACAATCCGCTTGTAAGCACATTTTATAATGATCTATCTAAAATCAAAATTACACCAATAGTTCAAATGATTCACGAAAGCAGTGCGCATGTGCTCTAACTCCTGCACTTTATCAATGAATGCATGCACTTTTTAACGTTCTTCACCAAAATAATTCACTTCCTACTAAATACAGAAATCCGAAAAACACAATCATGAAATTCTGTTGTTTACATTGCTCTACAAACACAGCACGAAAGATATTATTTTGAAATGTTCATTTTCATTAATGAGAAAGAAGTATGAATGGACAATTACGTCACATCACGACGTTGCGCTTGCGCGATCGCAGATGTAGATCACAGACTACTTCATACAATACTTGCGTTTGCTGGGATATGCGAAGTGGTGGGGTCGTTTTAAACGAAACAAGTTATTTCATGATGAACTTGTGGTAGGGAATGATTTCTCGTTATATTCTTCCGTTACGAGTATTTTATATTTTTGATATTGTAGCTTTTATTTTTTATTAACACGACAAACACAGTCATATCAATTAAAATTATAGTATTAAACCTACTCAATTTTATCAGTCGTAATAAAATTTAGTAGGTATTACACTATAACTTTAATTGCTATAATTAAAATATATAAAAAATACCTCTGTGCCATTTTACGATTTTCACATTGAGTTGATGACTTCAACAAGAAATAAATAAATAACACTAATAATCAATATTGACGTGACAACGTCTTAAATTAGGTTGCGGCTGGGAGTCACTTATGAAAAAGTGTAACGCTCGGTAACGTTACGATGAGTCTCTCGTGTTAAGTTTAAGTTTACATGTACAATGTTTTAGTAAACAAAATATATTTCTATAGTTAAAATTTGTGCAATTATTATTTTCATTCAATTCCTTGTTCCTATTGTGCAATTTAATTATATTCATATCAATAAATATTCTACCGAGAAAAAGACGTTGTCACGTAAAATCTTCGCCCGTAAAACCGACTTTACAGGCAACCATTTTTTTTATTCAACTTGCAAGTTAACAGCTGTTTTGAACAGTCCAATATCTAGTAGCAATTTAGTATTTCTTTCTAAGGAGAATAATTATAGAAATAAACTATTTTTCAAACTTAGTGATATTTGTAATAGTTATTTTTATAACGTTATCGTTATTAGAGACATTTTAAATCACTATATTCATTAAACGAATAACGTCATAAAAATCTGTGGTTGCATCTATGGACATACTTTACAAACAGGATTGGGAGTGACCTTATGTTATAGATTATCGTTGTACTATGTCTATGGGACTGGCTAGTATCAAAAATAACATTTTCAAAAAACCAAATTGACGTTCATGTAGGATTGTCAGGCGCAAAGACGGCCAACCCGAGCACAATAAGAAAGTCAAAACAGAGGCTATTTGTTTCGTTTTTACAATAACCATGCTTAAAAAAGTTATGACAGTAATTCCCTTGGCTATTAGTGTTTGCCATTTGTAAACTTGACATCAGTTTGTCCTTTTCATTCCTTGTAAAGCATGATTGCAGCAGACTTTTGTCAGGTTTACAAATAACAAATACGAATAGCCAAGTGAAGTGCCAGAATTATAAAATAGAAAACCAGTGCACAAATTATTTCCCTAATTTCATTAAATTAAAATTAAATTGATGTATGTATTGATGTATCAGTTATGAATAATTCAATTCCCAGGCAAAGTTTTATTTGTAATTTTTATGAGGTAACTAGGTAACTCCGTTTTCCATCAGATCGTAGGGTAGAAGGGGGGGGGGGGGGGCGATTGGGGGATGATAAATAAATTGACTGGTCAGCTATGATTTTAATTATGGAAGGATAACATTAATAAAGGTTCCTTGACGTACAGTTTGTCTATAAAGTCGTGACATTAAATGATGGCGCCACTAGTATGCATGTAGCAACCCTGTACAGTCTCACCAAAATGATTTTGATACTAGCAGTTCATTCAAGTAAAATAGGTAATTAATAAGACACACTATACAGTCGTATTTTGTTTCTGTTTTATATATAGTAGGTACCTATGCTTATAAAAAGTTTAGCCAAGCATATTTAATTGAATCAGAATAAAATTATTATAGATAAAATAGTACTTTATAGTGTAAAAGTGTGTAATGTTGGTGATTACCGCTGAGGTGCCATTGAGACCAGAGCCATTAGGTAATCATAAATACACACAAGTATCATCAGACGACGTTTTTTAACACACTTGTTAAGAAAATAATACTAAATATCATTTTACAGTATATAAAAAGTTTATTTAGATAAACAATTTGTAAATGTGTAGTTAGTAAAATTAGTGATAGGTATCTTCACTAAAAGCATCTGGCCATGGTTCTTTATGTGAACATTTCTTTCTTTGGTCGGCCTTGCCTGTTTTCCCAGGAGTTTCAAACTTTCCATCATTCTTAAAACCTTCGTAGACTATCCGACTCACTGATTTTCCTGAAAAAAAGTAAAAAAATATGTAACGGAATAGAAACAATAACTTACTGACATGAAGCAATTAATTCAAAATTGGTAGAAAACCTGACCGAGTTGAACCATATTAACGTATCAAAAGAAATGGTCGTACTACAATATTACCTATTTACAATGTCAATCTAACCTAAAAATGTGCAATGTAAACAATGCCTTTTTTAGTCTCAAAATCGTAAAGCAGATTACAAACAAATAGTTACACGGTTACATACCCGTCATAGATGCTGTTCGCCCATAAACATCATCCAAATCCCACAAAATTTGTCAAGCTTGGTAGTCTTCGAAACATCGCTGGAAAACTAAAAATCACTTCCCGCGTGCCACTCCGATTTACTTTACTCATTTTTATACCTTTCTGCGTAGTTTCGACTTAATTTATTACAGTTTAATCCAAACAATAAAAAATAGAAAAGGAAAACTGTTCCACAACTGAAACTCGATGACAGGTGATATACATAGGGCTGCCATCTCTAAAATATGGTAACCAGGTTAAGACGCGTGATAACCCCGGATTTTGGAGCCCAGAACCCGGACAGACCAATAAAAAAATAGTTAAAAATGTCACAAATCAACTTTTATATCTTGATCTAGGCAAAAGAGTTAGCGGTCTACCTCATAATAAGTGGGCTCTGCTGCCCATGGACACTTGCAGCAACAAGGGCCACTCATGCGTTGCCGTAAATTTTTAAACACGGACTAAAAATAAAACCCCGCCCGGACGCTCCCCGGACGCCCCGTAAACTAGGACAAATCCGGGGAAACCCGGACGGATGGCAGCCCTAGATATACATAAGTTTGGTGTTGCCAGACACATGAATAATGTTAGTTCCTCAAACATTCACGTCACGACTTTATAGACAAACTGTAGAGAGGCGGTCGCGGTCACGGTCGCCAATAGTCGCCATCTGCTGGGTTTCGTTCCAAACATACGCTCCTAGTGCGATTTTGACATAAAAAATCATGAAACTTATGTTAACTTTAACATGTGCCAATTTGAGAATATAAAATTCTTCTTCACGACAATAATATTAATTCATTTGTTTCTAGAAGTTAACACCAGTTTGTTTTATTATTTCGAAACGAGTTCATACAGTATTTAATACTAATTTGGCTGTTCAAAAGATATGATATCTTGCAGTTTGAATAAAAATATTTTATTAGTGTTATATATTTAGTTGATGCTGAAGTTCTCGCACTATTTACACATGTAAAAAAATCGCTTTCTTTATGCACTATTTGGTGTACGCTGCCATAACGCCACGTCCAAAGGTTATTTAAAAGTTTTGTTTCATATCTTTACTGCTTTAGGAGCTATCATTATGGCAGAACTACACTTACAATCTGTCGTGGTGTGTTGTGATTGTGACGCATCAGAGTTTTCAACCCAAAGGTCCATTAGAAGGTATTATGTTTTTTCTAGATATTATGTTGTTAACCATAGTAAATGTATGAAACCGATGTGCTTATGGCGCGCCACAACACGTCAATATGTACAGGGTAGGGATGTACCGATCCGACCCGATCCTTTGAAAAATCGGATCAGAAGGCATACGATCCGGTGATTTTCGGATCGGTTTCGTCCATACCCAAGAGCTCGAGATGGTCTTTAACCGGCACGGAGACATTTCGGAAAGTCGGAGTCAGATGGAATGGACTCCGTTTCGTCGAGAAGAGACAGGCCTGTGTTTTTGAGGGATTAAATCCAACCAAGTTGGCTTCACCCCAGAGGGAAACAGCTTCCAGGGTTGCATTCACTCCCTCCACCATCGCCTCCCTTAATGATCGGACATCTGCGTCAGACTTCATATCCGGCAGATATCTCTCCGAAACTTTGCTGTCGTCTGCATACCCAAAGATACCGGGAGTTAGGAGCAGATCATTGATGTGCAGCAAGAATAGAGTTGCGGAGAGGACAGATCCCTGGGGGACACCGGCATTAATACCAAGCAGATCCGACGATGTGCCATTAATGACCACTCGTATCGATCTGCCCCTCAGAAAATCTGCAATCCAGTTGCAAAGTCCAACAGCGATTCCATATGAAGGAAGCTTGCCAATGAGACTTGCATGCCAGACCCTGTCAAAAGCCTTAGAAATATCAAGAGAAACGGCGAGAGCTTCGCCGCGTTTCTCTATGGCTTCACTCCATAAGTGGGTAGCATAAACAAGAAGATCCCCAGTAGATCGCCCACGGCGGAAACCGAATTGGCAGTCACTGAGTAGATCGTTATCTTCGAGGTAAGCGAGGAGACGGTTGTTCAATACACGCTCCATAATCTTACAGAGTATGGAGGTGATTGCAATATGTCGATAGTTGGCAGGGTCGGCACGACTACCCTTTTTGGGTACTGGTTGGACATTGGCAAGCTTCCAGGTTTTCGGAACTTGGAAAATCTCAAGGGATAAGCGGTATAGGCGAGTCAGAATAGGAGACAACTCAGGGGCACAATTCCGCAGGACAATAGCTGGAATGCCATCGGGCCCACTGGCTTTATTCACGTCTAGAGTGCTTAGCGTTTTGAGTACCTCTTTCTGATGAATGCGAACTTCCAACATGGCAGAAGAACATTGAGGAAGCTTAGGTGGGTTTACGCCAGCAGCATCTAGTTGTGAGTTGTTCGCAAATATGGAGGCAAACAAGTCCGCCTTCTCTTTGGAGGTGTGAGCCAGCGATCCGTCAGGCTTAATTAAAGGCGGCAGCGACGACCGGCAAAAATTGGCTTCGACTGTCTTGGCTAGGGACCAGAAAGCTTTGCTTCCGGATGGAAAGGAGGCTAATTTGGCTCCTATACGACCAATGTGATCGAAGCGGGCCTTGCGGAGAACACCTTATCTTTGTTTACATTTTAACTTGGCGGCATTCCTTGCAGGTGGATCCGTTAATCTTATATATTCTATTATTATAAATAAAAGTTGTGGGTAAATTTATATATATACTACTAAATCTATTTCTTGCTAAAACCACATAATACACCTATTTCTTGGAAAAACAACATAAGTCAAGAATAAATATTCTTGATTTTTCCATTATTATTATTTGAGGAGTCTACTTTCAAAATCCACTAAAATCTTTTTCAGAAAATATAAGCTAGCAGAAAAAAACACCTCATTTTAAATAAAAGGTCAGTTCAATTAAAGTAAGCATCATAAATTTTTAATTTGTGCTTCATAAACACTTTTAACATGATTTCCCAAGGAAAACACGGAATTTAACTGATAAAGTGCTAAAAGAATTTTGTTTTTAGTGGATTTTGATGAGAACCTTTGATTATAGCGGGTTTTGCAACGACTATTGTAAATTTTGGCGGGTTTTGATTTGAATAGATTTTGAGGTATGGATGGTTTTATCCTACATGCACGAATTAAAATAATCCACTGTGTAGATATTCTTATGGAAATATTAAAGTTAGGGTTTGTTAAAATATATTTTTGGTACTATCTGTTACTATCTGGTAGAAACCCATAATAACAAACAAGGTTTTTTTTATCAAACATAAATTAAAAAAAAAATCATAAGTACATACATTTAAACTTGCAAATTAACTTCTTCCCCAACATGCTCACACATATTTTCTTCATCAACTACTTTTTTTATGAAGTAATTCAACATAATTAATGCACGTGCATTTGATAATTTTTGAAGAAATAATATTTTCACAACACATGAAGAAATGTATTAATATGCCCCCTAGCTTTGCAAACTTCAATGTTTTAAAACAACACAATTTTATTAATTGGTGCCATGTACTGTGTTGGATCCTACGCCTTTACCCATCATCGCATCATTCTGCATAACACCTTTTAACAGACATCACCAAGTTGTTCACGTGATTTGAATCCTGTGCTGTGATTGGTCCGCGCATTTTTGGTGGATCATAGTGGAGTTTGCAACGAATACGAATTTTAGATCACTGTTTTTTTATAGAATTAAGCGGGTTTTGCAGCTAAATATTTCGTGGATATGAATAATAAATATTCAGAAATATTTTGGAAGACTTAACTATTTTTTTGTCAAAAACCGTTTTAGCGGGTTTTGAAAGTAGACTCCTCATTTATGAACAGTAAAAGTTATTAGATATTTGAATTTTTTACAACTCAAATACCAAAGTAAGCGTAAAATAGTTCTATTAAACTCGATTGTTTGAGCATGTACCAGTTTTTATTAGTTCATGAAAATCTCTATTAGTGTGACTTAAGAGGTTTTTGAAATGACTGATTCAATTGTACGTTAACTATTAGTAAGTAGTTGGGTGCATTTCTTCGAAGTCTAAATTTTTCATAAATAACTAGTAAATATTTTTTAAGTTCTCTGTGTACTTAAATTACTATTTCAAATTGTGTTTCTTTCAAAACTAAGTACTTGTTTATTTATAAGTTTTACATAGAGTAATCTTGTTTGCTCACAAGTTTGATATACTTTGAAGGGTTTACCAAATAAAAATCTAAAATTAATTGTCTTACTTATTTGTATCCGATCCGATTTCTTGAAAATCGGATCGACGGCATGCGATCCGATCCGCGGATCGGATCATGGCATTACGATCCATTACGATCCGAAAAATCGGATCGACGACCCGGATCGCACATCCCTAGTACAGGGCTATACATGCTCATTGACAGCGACACACAGAAAAATGGCTACCCTTTTTTTGTGAAATACTCCGTCCATTTGATACGATGTCTATGATAATTGATAAAAAGTATGAAACTCACACCCATATTCTTAGTCGTTTCCTCGAGATTTTTTCCACTCGACTCAACCTCATTGGAGGAAATTCGTATGCTTAGACAACAAAAATATCCTTCACTTGAGATATTCCTCACTCGAGTGGAGGTCGAGTCGAGGAATAAACTGTCAAACTCAAGGTAGCTCTCGACGTACCTTAAGGCTTCCTCGAGTGGTGTTTAAGGTGTTTTCAAGTTTTATGTCTGATTTTGAGATTATTGACGAATTTGTGGATTTTATGGATTACGTATACGATTTATTTATTTATTTATTCAGTAACACATACACGATGATTAACCATATAATTTTCCGGCGCGACGGTATTTACGTGATGCCGCAAATCCTTTTAAGGTTTACGACAATGATTCGTTTCAAAGAAGATTTCGGTTTAGAAAAGATACAGTCATACAAGTAATATTTCCTGTGTTAACCATTATAGAAATAAAATCCTCCAAATGATGACGTCACAATGTTGAGGAATTCTCAGTGGAGGAATTCTCAAGTTTGTTCAAGATACCAACTAGAATACCATTTTCGAGGTTATTTGGAGGAACTCCTTAAGGAGCCCTCGAATGAGTTTGAGTCGAGGAACGTTTGAGGACGCGATTAAGAATATGGGTGTCAGGGCAAATTTGATATTTGTTGCACCAGGAGCGAAGATTTGGAACGCAGTTTTGTCTGTGAAAGGGGCTTTACACTACCCAATTTTAAGGGCCCTAACGAAAGGGTGGGCGTGGCCCCTAGCTAGGGTAGCAATCTTAACACCACCCTATCAATCGGACCCAATCAGTCGGTGCGTAAATGTTGTAGCGGTTGAACGTCGTCGTCATGACACCCGCTCTTTCGAAGCATTTACAAATTACTTAAATCTTACATGTTAATCTAGTTGAAAGAAAAACTGTGTGCTTAAACTGAAGAAAGAAATTAAACTATAATAGCTTTTTTCCGATTGATAGATTTTCCGAAACTATAATATGAAAATTTATTGACATGTATTTAAATGGAATTATAGTTTTAATATGGTTAATTACAATATTAATATCAATTAGATTTATTGTAAAATAATTTGATAGTGGTTTCGATTCTGGCATGGTTCTCTAAACTTAAAATTAAATTTAACATCAGTCTCTCTTTTTCACACTGTATATAAAATGACAAGGATAGACTGTTGTCAAATTAAGGTTTAAGTTTAGAGATCAACACCATTTGCATGCTAATTTAGCGAATCATGTTTGAGCATCATATTTATTGTAACATATATTTGTTGTACCATGTTTCTTGTAAATAAATATATGAAAATGAATATTTTGTCTCTCCATCTCCGTATAATAAATTCTATGCTAATTATTATATATTGGTTATAGTTCTTTTTATATAGGTACCTATTAAAGCTTATAGCGGCCCCGACTCGTGTGTGACGTTGTGTTTACAAGTAACTTGATTTTAGTTTTGCTGCTCGCAATATTAGCGTTATTGGTATTCTACACCTCACACTGCTTTCCCTATTAGTGGCTTTGTTTGATTTCTGAATAAACGCTACACAACACCTCATTGTATTTGCTTCATGATACCGAACGATTAGAAACGAAACAAAGGTTCGGTGATCTAATATACGTCCCTACTATACGTTTTCATGTCGACTGAGCTCCTTTACTGCTTAACAGCATTTTCACTACCCAATTGTCAAGGCGCAAGAGATATCGGGTTACACCGAGCGCCCTAGATCGGGTCACTTACTACCTAACTCAATTTACACCATCCCTAAGCCAGAAACATATTAACGAGTCATGTAGTGGCGCGCTAGAAGCGCATTCGGTTTTATACATTTTCTATAGTTAAAAACATATTTGCGTGTCGTGTCGACTTTCTAACCCATAGTAAATGTATGACCCGAGCGTCACGACACGTAAATATGTTTCTGGCTTTAGTCAGGGTAAGGGTCCCTCAAAATTGGGTAGTGTAACGGCCGCGTTATCTGTGTTTGCTGTCAAATTACTTTGACATGGAATGGACATGTAATTTCATTGATTTGATTTTTTTATGCATCTTTTATTGATTGAGTGTTGTGATTTTATGAATTGCAGAAATGAAACTTATTGTAATCAATATATGAAATAGCAATCTTGCTAATTTAGACCCCTTTTATGTATTACGTTCTTGCCTGTGTGAATAATGTGAATAGACCCCCTGCGTGGTGATGACAGTTCGCACTTGGTTCATACTGCTCGATTAGATAAGCTAGCAGCTGTAGCCAGCAGCAGCTTCCGATCACAGTAGCTGTAGTTGCATGGGGTCTACTAGTTCTGTCTGTAAGAGATGTGATACGAAACGAGACCCGCTTAGATTGTATACTTTAAACTAAATGCAGAGTATGACTTTATAGATAACTTCATCTTATATTGGAAATAATGTAATTTTGTTTTAAACATCAATAATAAGTCAAAATGAATGATGACTATTCACATTTGGATACTACACTCATTTACATTACTGAAAGTATACCAGGCCCACCTACAGATTCACCTGAATATAAAATATTGGTTAAAAATTTTAACTCCCAGGTTACACTAGAATGTAACTGTGCAGATATATGTGACCACGAGTCTTGTGATTGCAACAAAAGTCCTGGAGGAGGTAATTACATTAAGCACCCAATAACCTACAAAATGGTACTTAATCAATGCAAAATGACTTGCACTGATACTACTTCCATCATAGAATGCAACAGCATGTGTTCCTGTCAAGATAAATGTGGTAATCGTGTTGTTCAAAATGGACCAGTTGCAGGTTTGTATGTTAAAAGTTGTGAGAGCATGGAAAAGGGTCTAGGCCTTTTCACAAAAGACCATATACCTGCAGGCAGTTTTATATGTGAATATGCAGGAGAAATTATCACAAAAGATCAAGCTGCTCTTAGACAAGGCTATAATGCTTTAAATGGGAAAATGAATTATGTGTTTTGTTTAAATGAGCATTGTGATACTAATTCTTTTCAAACATTTGTGGATCCAAGTTTTATTGGTAACATTGGTCGCTATATTAACCACAGCTGTGATCCTAACTGTGTTATTATCCCAGTGAGAGTAAATACACCTATACCAAAGCTAGCAATATTTGCTTTGAAGGATATCGTTCCACAATCAGAAATAACTTTTAGATATGGTTCAGATAATTCTAAGGACTTTGTTTTTCTTACGAAAGTAGGAAGAAAGAAATGTTGTTGTAATAGCCCAAAATGCAGTGGATGGATGCCATATGAAGTGTATTGATGTTCATATAAATTGATTGTAATGGTGTTCTATTTTATAATTATTTACAAATATAGTGATATTTTTAGTATTATTTCTTTTTTTTCTTGTATAACTTATACTTATTAATATTATACTTATTTAATCCTATATTGCTTGTATATATCCAGTACCTGGTCTCCACTTAAGGACTCATCTGCTCGAATGGGAAATGATTTGTCTTTGTCTTTGACAGATATGGCCAGCCCACTGTCACTTCAGTTTACTGATTCTGGAAGCTTGGTCAGTCAGTTCCAGATAACATCATTGCGGATTTTATTGCATCAAAGATACTCTTGTATAGCTTGCTCCATAGCTCTCTGAGTGACTTTGAATTTGTAGACCAGTCCAACTGTCAGTGGCCACATCTCTCCACCATATGTCATGATAGGCAGGATAATTGAAAACAAAAGTTTTTGATCACTGCCGAATAGGCGACGAGTAGACTCAGCAGAGTTTGCCGAATGCTATCCAACCCAAATAAAGCTTCCTGTTGGGTTCTTTCTTGAAGTTGTATCTACTGAGCTGGATGGTCTGCCCTAGGTAAACGTATTCCTGCACAACTTCGAGCACCGACACTTCGACGCATATCGGTCTCGGCAAGACATAAGTGTTGATCTTAATCTAAATAGAAGCCTAGTATTCGCCCTCAAACGGCGCATTGTGTCGAACAATGCTCGCGAAAAAAAAAACAAAAATATAGTTTTTACTATTTAAGAATAGTTATTACACATCTGAGAAACAAAATAAAGTGAGAGAGCATACATTTCACGTATAATTTATACATTGCATGTACATATATCGACTTAAATCAATTATTTATTCACAAAACTTTTTACTATACACTGTTGCTATTTGTGAGGAAAAAATTGCACACAATATATTTTCAGAGGTTAAGGTAATTATTGTTTTTATACTTTTCTGCGTGTCCTGTTAAGTATTTATTTATGTAATACCCCTTCCACACGACACAATTTGATTGCCAATCTGATTGCCGATTGAATTGGGTACAATCTGGTCGTCCGTCTACACATACACAACAAGATCGCCAATTTCAGTTTTATTTGTTGCCTCTGCTGAACGGACTTGTTTGTATTAGGAGAGCCTCTTACCAAGAAGCAAAAAATTGGATTAATCTTGGCTCTAACTATAAATGTAGATGAGAAAAAAAGAAAAAGAAGACTGTGGACAAAACAACGGTTATTAAAAAGAAAGCAATTGAGGCACTTAAATGTAGTTATATTATATTTAAGTCACTCAATTAATAAAGTTAAATATAGTTATACTTAAAGAGTAATATTTTTAAAGAAAATATAACTAGAAAAAATTCCACGCGGACCAGGCAGCAGACGGGACTCGAACCCGCACCCTTCGAATAACCCTTAAAATATAACTGAGTTATATTTTCTTTAGATTTAAACATCAAGCAGTTACATGCGTTAAAAATAATAAAAATTATAACTATAATTGCTATTTCTTCTTTCAAATGTTTAATACTTGTAAAAATATTCATTTGACATTGTGGGTTACCTATAATGCGAAGAGATGGCGCTGCCTTGCAACTTAAGAATGGCTGGAAGAATTTCGACGCGGTCCGTAAGGGCCGCGTTAGCATAATTGGTCAGTGTATTCGCCCGGATTGCGAAGGGTGCGGGTTCGAGTCCCGTCTGCTGCCTGGTCCGCGTGGTTTTTTTTCTAGTTATATTTTCATTAGATTTAAACATCAAGCAATTACATGCTTAAAAAATAAAAATTATAAAAAAAAATATATAATATTATTTCTTTTTTACCCCAGCATGCACGCATATCATTGAGTAGAATATAAATTTAATTAAATGATTTTTTATTTTCAATAACAAATAACTGCCTGGTCCGCGTGGAATTTTTTCTTGTTATATTTTCTTTAGATTTAAACATCAAGCAGTTACATACTTTAAAAATAATAAAAATTATAACAGTAATATTTTTATCTATATTTTTCCACTTATTCCTCAAAATCTCTAAGGAATTATGCCTTGCTTGTTTATTTTTATATAATGGGTTAGACACATCCCAAAGGCATGGCAAGTCTTTACATATATCTAAAATCTCCTCCATTACTTCCCGTTCAGATCGAATAGACATAATATTGTCGTCATGTTGCTCCATCTTCTTCTCAAAAGACAAGTCAACGCACACACCCGCTCTGAACGCCGCTTGCACAGTGACTTTCCGGTTATAATAAGGTACTCTGTGACAGTGACTACGTTAAAAAATTGGCCAGTTTGATTATTTAGACACCACCCAATTTGATTGGGCAATCCCAAATCGGGCGATACCGACCATCCAATGACCTTCAATTTCATATTTCCGTCCACACAACACAATTCGATTGTCAATCTAATCAAATTGGACGTAAAATTGTATCGTGTGGAAGACACTTTAAACTAATATATTGGTGTGACCAGCTCCATAAAAATTTGATGACACTTTTGTCACGTAATTTTTTCCATGACTGGACGCCATTTTCACTTGGGATAACTTTGCTTTCTAAAAAATAAATGGGGAGGGTTTGTAGTTGTACACATCACATCCAGTGGGAAAAAATTATAGGCTGTTGCTGAGGTAAAACTTCGATGGCGCAAATGGTTAGCGCGTTCCGTCTGCGATAGTGAAAGTTAAGCAACTTTCCCAATGACCGGCCATCCATTGAGATGGGTGACCAAAAAACTTATTATCTCGAGCTTCTCCGTACTTCAGAAGGCACGTTCAGCCGTTGGTCCCGGCTGCATCTGCAGTTGTTAGCACCCACCTATCCGCACTGGTGGGTCCCGCGTGGCTGGGAAATGGTACATTATCCCTTTGCTATCCTAGGGAAGACCTGTGCGTGACCTAGCAGTGGAGGCATTGATAGCCTGATGAGAATTGGGTGGCTGAAGCGACACTTCACATATAGGATAATTTGCTTTTTATGTTAAAAACAGTAGGTTTTCCCTACAGATCTCTGTATCTATACTTCTATATTAATATTAAGGAAAGATTTGATTGTTTGTTTGTATTGAATAGGCTCCGAAACTACTGAACCGATTTGAAAAATTCTTTCACATTTATTATACATTATCTCCCCGATGAACAAAGGCTATAGAGTATTTTCAAAAAGTTAGGGTTCCGTATGAAAAGTTCGATTATGTAACCCAATGTGTAAATGATAATATTAGTAAGTATGTCTCATTTTCACTGAAGGTTTCAATTTTATGAAGAGTCATTTTAGTCTACACTACAGCTCTAGGCACACGCACACCGAAGCGAAGCGAGGGCGGGCCACTAGTCTTTATATATATAATTCTTCTGTGAGTGTGTATGTCACTGAACTTCTCTTAAACGACTGGACCGATTTTGATGAAATTTTTTGTGTGTGTTCAAGGGGATCTGAGAATGGTTTAGATTCACAATTTTGTCCGCTCGACAACCCCTATTTTTTTTAGAGCGGTACGAAGTTCGCTGGGTCAGCTAGTAGCATATAATTATATAGGTACATGAACATAAAGTATATTCATCCTGGCAAATACTTTGGCATCGCTTAACAAAGCACCACGTTTCCCAAATTTTTGGGTTTGTGACAGGTGACAGTAATACTAAAATCATGTATTTGTGTGCGTAGATACATATAACTTACTTCTTGGCGTTATTAATCTAAGCCAGTAGTATTAGTGTTTGTGTTTTTTGCTTTCATTACAGTACACACGAATATTACTCAATTATCTATATTTTTCCTTAATAAGGAAGGCCTGGCGGTCTTTTTATCTTGAAAGAGTTTAAATTCTACTAAACAAAGTCGACTCATATAGTTATCTTATTTTTACACAGACCAAAAAAGGAACAAATATTTATAATGAAAACCTTGTGGATTTTGTGTATACCTTGGTAACCTTTACGATACCGAATCAAAAAGTGATCCTTTCATATGCAACTTGCCAACAGGCCATTCAAGCCTCGAGTGAGCGAGTCACGGGGCGAGTTTACAAGTTACAAGCCAGCAAGTTCGCTAGTAGCTTGTAAACTCGCCCCGTATCATCGAGTAGCAGATGGTAAAAAAGCCGATGACACGGAGCGAGTTACAAGCTGCTAGCGAACTCGCTGGCTTGTAGCTTGTAATTCGCCCCGTGTCACCGAGGCTTAATACTTTTTGGATGGTTAATACTTTCTTTCGAAATCATTTTGCTACTTAGCATAATTTCGTCTGGAGTGTACTTGTAGCATACAATAAAATTTTACAAAAAAAATTGGGTAATCAAAAACCTTTTTTTAAAGTTAGCTTTTAATAAGCTAAAAAAAATCTAATATGCTTATATAGATTCATGTAATGATTGTTTTGAGTAGGCTTGCAACGAATATTCGGTTACTATTCGGTATTCGGCCTATTCGGCTGCTTTTATTATATTCGGCCGGATACCGAATACTTAAATAATATATTTTGTCATAGAGAAATAATTGGTAAAATGAAAAATTTAAATCGATTGATTACGTATATATTCATATTTCCATTTCTGTTATACAACCATTTAAGTAGTCATTGGTACATAACACAGGTACATAATCATCTTCTGAATTGGAAAAATGGACGATTCTATGTATTGGAATTATTGTGGTAATCAAAAATTAGAAGGATCTCATTTCTTAAAATCATTTATTAAGTAGTCATTGGTACATAAAACAGGTACATAATTTAATCATTTTCTGTATTAAACAAGTGAAGTTTTTAATTTATTCAGTCATGTGATGAATGGTTACATAATAGCAATAATTTAAAGTTTACGCGCCGTTTTTGGCCATATCTCAAAAGTTGGTTTTGTCATTTAGCCGTGGATTAGAACAAACAAAGGAGCGCGAAACAATCACGTCTGTACAAGTTTTTGGCGCTAAAATCCAGCCGAATATTTTTGCCTAATATTCGGCTATTCGGTCAAGGGCCTCGCCGAATATTCGGTATACTGCCGAATATACTATTCGTTGCAAGTCTAGTTTTGAGTTTTATGGATATCACTCTTCCTCTTT